TTTCTGTTGCCTTACAACGTCAAAGCTGTGGAGAAGCTCATCCACCACCTCTTGGTCGCTTGTCTCAAGGAAGGTTATCGATATTTTCACACCATCCTGGTACATATTCTCTCCGATATCCTCTGAAGATCTAGGAATCTACCGTAGTTTTTGCTGTTTGGTGATATCCAGTTTAGGTACTTATCACAGCCATTACATATATAACAGACAGTACTCTCACTCAGTGGCGGCACGTTTGATGTGGCGAATTGATTTTCAATGACCTCGAAGCCATTATGCTGGCATAAAACACAAATTAAAAAAGTTATTCGCAATTAAATTTCTGAACTGATAAAAACATTAGTTATTGAGTTATATACTATATAACTAATAACATCATTATTTATAATGTTTGATTTTATTTTAATCTTTACACTTCTCGTTACGGCTCTGCACAAAACCAAACCTCACAGACACACTGGCGATTAGCAAGATTTAAACCAGCGTAATGGCCGCTCGCCTGCGTAATGAGGGCTGCGTATATCTTCCCGCCAAACCGAGTGAGAGTACTCTCTGTTATATATACTGTGTACTTATCAAGGTCTCTAGAAAATTTCTCTCACTCAGCATTTTTAAAATTCCATCCGTAACAAGTGGAATTTGGTTACCTGTCTCTATTGTAACAGGATGAGGGTGGCTGTGGGGGAAATTGCAGAGGAACTTTTTGAGTTGTCGCCAGCGGTCGACTTTTGTTATTAGTTGAGATGAAACATAGGTCAGAATTATATTCCATCCTCCAAGGTGCGAATCTGAGATTACAGTGGCCTTTAGCATCAGATATGAATTTAAGATATTCATTTTCAGACCATTTCACCAAGGACTCGCCATTAACATCACAGTCTCGATATTTCCACTGCTTAAGGTGGCTATTAAAGTATATACTGGACGGTGCTATTGTATTTGGATCAGTGCGGTTGGCCATCAACCACTTGTTGGTTTATAAACATTGGATACGCTTAAGTTTCCAATTTTGACTACAACACTACGCATTTCATTACCTGAAGTGGTAGAAATGGGAGAAGCATTTTCTATTTCGTATCTAATGTTAGTTGAGTAGTTCGTATCCTGCAATTATCCTCATTTTCCACCGTTGGTCTTCCGAGTTGCAATGTGTTTGCTGAATTACGACCAGATCAAGATTTTTTTCTTCAACAGTCTTGATAAACAGTGGCTTTTAGAGTAGATAATGCTCTCTATGTTTATTATGCAAATACGAACAGAAGTTGAGGGATTTCTTGTCAAAAAGTCCTTAAGAAGACTTTTTAGTTTGCTTAAAGTCATGGTTTACAGCTTGTATGTTTGCTTATGCCTTGCGTGGTCAGGAGAACCTTTCTGACTGATTTGCAAGCCAATTTGGCGTTATCCAGGGTGCACCACGATGAGAGCAGTATAAATAGCAGATAAATATCAACATTAGAGAAATTTATGCGGTGCAGTTGAAGCATATTCAAGTAGAAGGTGCATGTATGAGTGAGAATTAGATTATTTTTAAATCTGGGAAAACAAAACATGTGCACAATGTCGCATATTTCCCATCTTTCATGGTCGATGAATTTTATTGGTTATCATCAGGTCATGTTTATTCAAAGATTCAAAGATTACGTTAGAAATCAACGACATCACTATTTCTATATTCAGAAAAAAGCGCTGATTAGCTGATCTAAACCATATGTACTTTTATGATCATGTTTTCTGTAAATATATGCCCATGAACACGGTTCTCAATTCTTGACATCAATAACCAAGTGAAAAGAGTATTTAATAGGTATAGAAGGGATTATCATAAAGAAGTATTCGATATACACCACCTCAAGAACCGAGGATTTTTACAAGAGGGGTTCGAGATGATTACCGGGTACTTAATGTAACGTGTGTTGGTTTCGTTGCTACACCTACTCGGTTAGTCCTTTATCCATGTTTGAACGATTTTCAAAGTTATTATTCGTGAAATTTATTTTATGATAATAGAATTTGCTGTAGAGTGTTGCCATGGATATTATTTTCAAACTACCAAGATTCCAGTAGTTGTCTCTAAAAAAAATGGCAAACTTTGCTGGATTCAGCATAATGTTTAGTAAAAGTTAACTGCACTTAATTATCAAAAGGATTCAGTATCAAATACAATTATCTTCTCTCTGAATAAACATTTTGTTTAGAAAATCTCATGTTTACTATTGTCCCTAACTGGAAACCCAAAACTCCAAACTAGGACTGGACTCCAAAACAATCAAACTATTTTGAATATTTGTAGTCTCTAAAAGGAACTAGTATCTATTGTACTGGTGTGAAGTTATCCATAAATCCCAGCAATAAACTTAAAACATTAATAATTCCGTAACTAATACGATTTGGGTAACCAAATTTCACACAGAGGTCACTCTTACCCTCAAGAACAGCTTACCACCCCCATTTGGTAAAAAAAATTTGTTTCAACCCCCACCCCCGAAAAAGGGATGTTTTCGCCCTGATGGGCACCTTCGAATTAAACCAAATTCTACCACATAATAGAACACAGTTCTAAGTATTTTTATCAATTTTCAAAACACCGTAAGCCCTAACGGTTTTCGAGAAAAAAAATCATTCTTATAAACCGCGGATGGGACTTTAGGGGTGAATTTGACCCCGTTGGGCACCTCCAAAATTGATGAAATTTTAGGATGATTTAGAGGATGCCTTTAGCGATTGAAATCAACCATCCAAACACCGTAATGTATTACGGTTTCCGAGAAAAAAAA